GTGAAATGTCAATGAATTTGGTGCTATCGCAGAAGTACATTGGTGAGAGGGCTGAAACTAGGTCTAGGTGTCAGAAATGCACTCAAAAAAATGCAAATGAGCAGATGAAGCATACATTAGTGAAAAACCGTGTTCAGAGCGAGAATTCTGTCACTTGAAGGATTCGGGCCGCGAACTCCACAGTTACTAGCATACCATCAAGAAGAGTAAAGGACCGATAACGCGTTGACAAAACCTTTCTCCAGTACTCTGTCGCAGTCCAACAACGCGAGAGAGAAAATTAAATCTGGTTCTTCGGTGCAGGTCTGCCAGTTCTGTTAACCGACTGGTTGCTCCGTACCGAGTCGACTCCTGGCTACAAGGTTGGATAAAGTTAACATCAGGCAATCGGGAAAAGGAATTTAAGGAAAATTGACTGGAGCAATTATTAGAAGTTGTCCCTGTAGAAAAATTAATCTTAATGGGGAGCTGGGACTCTCATTCGGGTGGCGGTAAGAGGTCTAAACTCAAGAAGCACGAAGCTGTGCCGTGGAGTTTGTTTGCATTTGCTAACATCTTCCGGTGGTTGAAATCACCCCTTTCTCGGGCCGGGCGCCTCTTCCACCTCCACCACTACCACTCTTCAATGGCCAGATGCCGTGAAGTGTCGCGCTACTCCCACGATATCTAAAATGAATCCTTTCTGATGGGGGATCGCTCTTAGCGTGGCTCTTTTCTAGGTTCTTCGTCTCTACGAGCGCCCTCTTGCCCTCTCAATTGGAGTGCGAACACAATGTCGCCGAACCGTTCGCAATCCCTGACAGCAGAAGAAATACTGAGGGCGGCTCATGCCGCGGTCGATGCCTTCTTATCATTAGGAATCCAGGGATGTTTCTTCGGGAGCGTTGCTTGCTTGTGCTATGGGACAACTCGGGTACCGAATGTGTGTATCAATGCTCTAGTAAAGAGATCAAACCTCACAGATACTCTGATAGGATGTAGACGTCTTGATAACCTCACCAAACCCGAACGGTGGACCATGGGAACAAGAGGATCTCAAAGATCTCCTTGTTCAGACCGACCAGAGCTTCTACGTCGTCTCTTCGAAAAACCCCTTCGCCACCTATCGACTTCTCTACTACGATCTTTCTGGATCATCGAGGGTATCCCGAGAATTGAGACGCTGCTGCAAAGTCGACATTCTCGTTCCGGGTTCAATGAACATACCCCCAGTCCCTTCATCTAGTATTGTATGGCGTACAAGCCTACTCGGGCAATGGTATGCGCCATCTCGGGAGCTTCCTGTGATGCCCTTCATCCTGCTTCTCCTCATGAAACTGCAGGGCTGGATGGATCACGGAAATTCCGCGGCTGCGCATATACAAGCAAAGCAGCCGACCGATGTACGCGATATTCGCGAGCTCCTCAGCCTATCCGCTGTACCGAGGACGGCGAACGCATGGTCGATGATGAAGCGCGAAGAATGGATACCACAGTCTTTTGTTGATCAGGGACAAATGCGCGTACGAGAGTTCGTCAGGAGTTACCCCGAAACTGAGCATGCTTGGCGACAGATTGGCCTAGGGTATTTACCAGGTAAGTTCGTCGCAACCTTTTCTTTCGGTAGTTCTAACTTTGGAGATCGATTTAGTAACAATTAAGTTCCCTTCCGGAAGACTGTGGGTACCAAGTGGTTCCAAATAATTGTATATTTTACTCTCTAAGGTCTGCGCATGTATATTAGCCTCTACCCTGGAATCAGACGCATGACCACGAGTTATGAAAACCTAGCTTTAACAGAGTACCTTTCATGTCGTCTTCAACAGGAATCGGATGTACCATAACGTTGACCCGACGCCATTTCGAAGGTAAGACGTCTCATTCAATTCTTTTAAAAAAAATACAGATCCATCTGTTATCACATAGTGCTCAATGCTATCGATTCATTTGAATGTAACTAACATCTCGCCGCCATCAATAAAGCTATGGTTCTGAACTATTACAATCTGACGGCAAGACTTCGTCAAAAAGTCGAATTAGTTGTTGCAGGAGCAGCATGTGCATGCTCCGGCAGTGCAAGAGCACCTGAAAATCATTCATCAATTAGCGAGTCGTTCAAGGTGCAAACGGGACATTACTCACGAGCTGCAGCTGCACGAAGCACTTCCACAGGCCTCGACGACGGGAACTTGGGTTGTCTGTGCAAAGTATAGATGGTCACCACGGGGATAAAGGTATAAGAGAGATAATGCAAACAGTGAACATGATGTTGGTAGGTAGGTTTGTTAGATGTTTCGAGTTGTAACGATTTACTGAAATTCTCCCCCTAGATTGCGCGGCCTTATATAGGATTTGAGGCTGCAGTATTGACGAGTGTTTATCTTATCGTCCATAAAATCGCGCATGATATGGTTCGTCCACAAAATAACGCACTGCGTCCAAGAAATCGCGCATGAATCTGATTGGATCCATAAAATCGCGCAGCCGGCTGCATGACGTCAAGAACTGGCGCGCCAAGATAGATTAATAAGAAACATTCCAGACACCGTCATGTGATTCGGAACACGGTGCTGGCTAAAAACAGTTACACTGACAGTAACAACGAAGGTGTGCATCAAATTGACTACGGCGAAATAAACATCGGTGGAGCGATTTCATTGAATATTCGCTCAGCCAGAACAATAGCCAATAACTTCGGGCTCGCAACTGTGCAAAGGGTTAAGAAAACTGTTGAAACAAAGCAACAGTTAGAACTGACCCGTCGTTGCAACCATCGTAGAGCGTGCATGGGTGGGAGGTGTCACTGACAGGTGGGTCCGTTTAGAGAGATAAGCAGGCATTATGGAATACATACTAGCAAGAGTCGAGAATCGTAGCAGTATCCTATTCGGGTGCAGTGAATCATCAGAAATAACATCACTATCTGGTAATGGCAGAACGTACGCCATAGTTGTAGTTAATCCCGGCCAGGGTTCCACCTACACAAGATTAAATTAGAAGGCATTAAACACACAACGAACTCTCGTACCATCGACAGCAACGACGCCTTTGATGTAGACGTTTCTGTAACATTGTGACTTGCACTGGATAGAGATTACAGTTTAGTGGACCAGAAGAATATTCCAATCAGATGTTGACGCACATTTCCACAGGACCGGTAGAGCTGGAAAATGTGGTTAGAATGGGTTGGAAGTTCAAGCTAAGCCGAAGACGGTCAAGTCACCTTGCCATAGTCTAGATAATATGAGTTAGCCCAACGAACGGGACATGGGTGCTCGCATACCTTCAACATAGAAGTTGATGATCTTATTTGGCCAGATCGTCAGCTCAAGGAAGCACGAAGGAACTATAAACGCTGCTCACGTTTACTGTTCCGCAACCGTTATGTTGGACGACCTTATCCTCGGCATGATAGGCGCCACCACCGATGATATTGGTATCGTCACCATACTCATCATTTTTCTGTGGTTAAAGGGATTGAACGAGACTCGGTGGCCGCCAAGCGAAGTGCACATACGATGGTAATGGCGTCCTCTATTCGCGGGAGAGAAATTAGGACCGGATTTACTTCGAAGTAATAAATGATTCCGCACCACACACATCCTCAAACTACATCACCGTATAAGCAAATACAATTTAAAAAGGAAGCGCGCGGCGCGAACCCAAACAAAGTTCAAAGTACAATCTGATCTCAACGGCGTTAGTTTGAGCAAGGTCAAAAATTGCAAGACGTACATCCGGTACAATCTATTGAGGAAGCTCCGTTAAAGAGGTGTCGTGAAACGACAAAGCAGTTAACTTACGGACACCTTCGGCCTGGTTGGCGCCAATGATAACATTCTGGAGGGTGGCTCCCTCGTGGAGATAGAAGACTATCATGTTCCGTGATCAGTACTCTAAGACTCAATGCAGAGAACCAAGACGTACCAGCATCCTCCCAATCTGGATGAAAGAGGAAGTTAAGCAAGTTACAATGAAGGGTAGTTAAATTATCACCTCCTTCGGACTGCTCGCTGCGGATATTTAGTAAGTACAATGACCACTCCAAGAAATGCCGGGGGAGACCCACTTGCAAGCACCACTGCCACGGTCGTATTTCTTCCAGCCACCGTCAAAGGTTTGGCCGGCTGCGACCTCGATGACGGCGCTACTGGACACGGCTCCCGTAGGTGTAGGGAGACCCCCGGTCCACGCATCACAGGCAGCCGCAAGGGTCGCGAGAGAGCTGAGTGAGAACACAAGCAGCAAGAACATTTCGGTTGACAGATATCAGTCTATGTGTCGGGACGTATTTTATAAGTACTCAGAGGATAAACATCCGAAAGCTGAGAATATGGACCAGCAGGGAAGCTTGACATAGAGAAGTTCCCGGTCGAGAGGCTGCAAACCACTAGGATGGAAGGGCTGACTTTGGGGCTGAACTGCGCAGCGTGGCGGAGGCGCGGCGGCCCGGGAAAAATCAGTCTCAGTTCTAGGAGAAGTATATGTGCAAACTGAGATTTCTCCGAAATATAAATTTGTCGAACAGGTTATAGATGCAACTGAAAGGACACAAGTGACCTATCTGCGTACGTAGAGGCAGCTTCGCCATATGGTTGGACAAGTGGAGCACCGCATTGAAGTAGCTAGAAGCCGAAGTTGGTCTGTGATCCATCAGCCCTAGACATAGATAGGAACAAACTTAGATACGCACCTGATTGTACTTGTACAGTAACGTTACCTGAAGATTTTTTGTTTACATAGAAATTATCCAGTTCCTAACGCGTCTACTGTGCATGACACGAGACTGGTAAAAAATTGATACAGTGTCAATATTAATGATTTAATTGGCTTGTCGTATACAGGAATCGTGACCAAGAAACGCTCCGAAGTGTTGGGCATATAAACAGTCTGATTGGAAACGAGGGCTGGAGCTTACAGCTGCTTGCCAAGAAAAAATGGCTATGCCAAGACACATCACAAGTAGGGATGTGCACCGTACCGTTACGGATACGGCCGTAACAATACGGCCGTAGACCGTATCAAAATTCTTGTTCACGGTACGGTACGGTTGACTTCAAATCCGTACCGCATCCGTACCGTTGTCCATATACGGACAGTTTTACAGTGACGACGAATATCTGGAGTCAAGACGTGAGTGTTATTTGCTTCATTAAGGTCATCCGTACTTACCTCGATGGTATTAGACCATCCCTGGCCACTCCCTCGATGACCATATTCTAACCGTATGAATACGGCCGTATTTTGGGTCGTCGAAGGTGGCCACGGTACGGGCCCGTATCCGTATCCACCGTACGTACCCACCGTAGTACGGATACGGTGCACATCCCTAATCACAAGTCAACAGTCGAAGATCCGAACACAGCACACATTCCCCCAGATTTTAACCGGCAGTTCTTAGTTGATAAATGCGACGCGACAGTGTCCTACAGGCCAGACTAAAAATGAAGGCAAGTGGTCATAGATATGCACCTTTCCCTTCGCTCGCAGATGTATAGAGATAGTAAGAGTTCAACAAAGGAAGGATAAAGATAGGCAGATAACCAATAGAGGCCCCAACTACGAACAGCATTGATCTATTCCCATGAAAATACGACACGACTGTTAGATGACTTTGAGCCAAATAGGGGAAAGATTTGCGGTGATGGCGCTATTGAGCAAGCATCAGTAGAGATGCGAATGGAGATCAGCTTCTCATGGCGGGCATGAGGATCCAAGTGTGACAATCAATCGAGGGCTATCGAGGGGTCAGGGGCACGATGAAGCCACGTCAAAGTAGGTCCAAATGGTTCAGTGGTTATCCATTTGGTTCTGGCCTCTGGGTAAGACCGGAGGTCCTAGGAGCGCATAGCGCATGAGTTCAATTCCCAGTGAAAATGCTGTAGGGAGGTTTAGTGGGTATTACATAAATGTCGAGTCCCACACTGTTTGGCACTCATGCCGTTCGTGCGTAAATGCATTCCTAGCCTGCCAGAGTTTCCCACAGGTTTATCATCCCCTGACTCTTCATGGCCTGCTATACAACATCATTGTTGTGCCAAACTACCTCCGGAAAGGTAGAAGGACTGCCACTGGAGGGTGTGTATAACAGTTGCTGCAAAAAAAAAAAAAAGGCCAAGTCAAAGTCATGTGGAAAGGTCTGGATGATGTAATCATAAACCCCTAACCTTACTGTTCGTCGATGTCCTGGGTCCCCTTACAAGTTTCACTTCTAGAGCCCAGCAAAAGCTCAATAACCACATTGCTGTGAACCTATAAAATTTTTTATGCAGCTTAGCATACTGACTGTGTTCTGTCTTAACTTTGATACTTCACTCTTTGACTGCTACAGCATTTGATCCATCACTTGCCCATCATGCGAGCATTGCACGAGTGTGAATTATCTGCAAATTGGAAGGCTTTGACATATGCTCAATATTTTCTTTCAATATTCTGACATCTACAAAAAATTGGCACTTTTATGCTGAATTGTACTCAGTACAATCTCCTGAAGCATGAGGAGACACTAGAATGGAACACAGACTGATTGAAGTTGTAGTCACCCATGTAAACCACCTTTGTCCGAGTTCCCACTTCACAGTTGTCTATCGGGTTTCCCCAACACAGATGTTACACAAACAGAGCTGACACTTGGTCTCTTGTAAGCCAAAGTGAGTCGTCATTCTACTAGTTGAAGGCTCTGAAACTATTGTATTCTTGTAAAGGCCGTGGAGGCATACAGATAAGACCACATTTCTGTCGCACCATTTCCTTATCCATATAAAATCGATGTCGATCCTCAGGATGACACTCACTCATTTTAAATTACTCCTTGATGAGTCTGCGACTTACAAGGTGATTTTCAGCTGTTCACATGCAACAAGATACATTAACAGAACTCTGTCAGATGGGAAGAAGCCGAAGAAGATGGAGCGGCAACAATGGGGCTCTATGAAGGCAAACAAAGCTGCAACGGTCAAAAAAGACTTACTATAGGAGATGCCAGATGAGACAGCAGAGGGTGATGGAGTTAATGCCAAAGCTGCTATGTATGTATTTATCTCGAGACCATCACGTCAGTTTTCTGATTATCAATAAATTCCACTGCCTTTGTATCCACATGAAATGCCAAATATCTTGTGCATACCAAAGAACAACAGATAAAAGTGTATTCTGTTGGATAACACGTGCACCATGTGTTCAGGCACATTTGCCTAGCAAGTTAGGAAAGAGCAGTCCATGTTTGCTTAGTATTGCGAGGATGAGTGAAATACACAGTGGTAAACCTATCTCTCAGTCTACTACCTTAGTGGTGGTTGAGTATGAAGGAATTATTATTTTACTAGGCCAAAACTTCAGCCTTATATACTACACAATGTATCTAGAAAGTTCTACTACTTTACTTATGTTTATATCTACTTGAAGGTTCCAGTAAGTAAGAGTATGAGGGGAGAAACATTTAGCAAGAGCGATGATGCTCAAATATTCTGAATGTTGCCGGATTGCAGAGACACGGCATGCCTGTCACTATGTCACAACCTGTAGGTCAGTCACAACACTTAGAAGGCAAATGAGTACAGGACACTGTGAAATCTAGCTACTTAAATACCATTTTGTATCTTCTAGTACTTTCTTTCTCTTAGTAAATCTTTACTCAGCAAAACTCGGGCTAACTGGACATCACGCCAGCTCGCACAGCCACAGGGTCATCAATATTCCACATATTCACCACCCTGAAACCAACCCTTGAGCATGAATGTCTTTCATCTGAAAGAAGGACAGGACCATCTGCATGAATCCATTTAATCAAGGAAGCTGGCAACAAAGATCTTGGGACCTCCATAGCCAGAGAGAATCCCCACTTCTCTCCTTTTTCTGAGTCCTATGAATATAGGTAATCGGTCATTATGCAGTTGGGAAAGGCCCATGGGAAACTCTATTCGTGAAATCAATTGGTCTCGGTGATTGCCAGCTATCTCGCTCTGTGGGTCTGTGTTCCCCCCGTGGAATGCGCGGCGTTTGCCGATCATCCGTCTCCTGGATTTTTTTCTATTCGTGCACGGTCTTTGCCAGGCTATGCCTGTTTTTCTTTCCTCATTCTTTTTTTTTCCTTTTCCCGCTTTTTTTAATTATTGTTTTTGCTTTTGGTCATGGTCAGGTGAATATACAGAATCCTATCCTGCATCTCCAAATGTTGATGACCACCACTGGCTCTCGATGCCGCTACAGACCCTATCCATAGCATGATTTTCAGGGTCAGTATGCTTCTTCTCTGGGAGGGCTCTTTTGATGACGTGAACATGTTTAAGGATCTAACTGAGAAGTTGGCCCATGTCTTTGTGTACTGATGATTTTCAGAATCAGTCTGATAAAAATAGGACTCGGTTTTGCCACCGGATGAGCTGGCCCTCATCCAACTAGTGTCATGACAAGTCTTTTAGGACAGAAATCTGCCTATCCATAAATGAACTCTTCCCGAAAGGACCTCTCTGGTGCTCTGTCTTTGAAAAATCCACATTCCCACCAAGACGATGTAATCCATGGCATATACAGCACTGGCATTTTCACTAGTGGTGAGATTGTAATTCAAGCATCATGGGTAACCCATTCTTCCCAATCAAATACTTGCTGCTACTCGTATCATGAGGCAACTCACTACCAATGGAATTATTCTCTCATTGACATCTCAGACAGGAGGAAAACTTTGTGTCATATCATGTATATGGCGCTATGTGCAATCAGTGACAGCTAACCTTGTGATCTAAGTCCCATCTGATATGACTAGCATTTGATGGCCATTGTATTCAAGTGGCATTATCCAAGTCCTATACTTTGTGCACTATACCATAATACTATGTATGGGTATTTCTTTATATAACTCTGCTCCTACAAACTGTACCTAAGTTGAAGGGACATTCCCATAGCAATTTAAAGTGACAATGAGGATAATTGCAACCGAAAATTTAAAGCTCCTTAGTGCTATATACATACAGGAAATAAAATACATTCTCTTGAAAGAGATCCCTTTTCGGTCCCTGATAGGAACTAATCCGCTCTCAGCACATACCCTTAATTGTGATGCAGACGGACAACTTGTTGTTATAATATCACAAGAGAATGCCCCTGCAGTGTGAACTGTCATACTTACAATAATAATATAATTCCCTTGCCGACAAAGGTCATCATCAGTGCAGTCCTCTGGTGAGTAATATTGGACTCACTGGCACTTTCTACAAGTTGAGGAGACAAGTGATGATGGTATGGAAGTAGAAGACAAGCAGAGAGGTGCATATTCAAGAAATGCATGGCAAGGATCTTACACTGGGCTGAAAAAACCAGTGACTCATGATTGATTTAACTCAACTGTCATGTGAGATACAAGGGAATGTACATCAGATGCATCTATATCCATGTAATGTAAGGTGAAGCAAGCAAAGAAACTGCATCTCACGAGGCTTAGCTCCTGTAAAGGAGGCCCATCTCGCCAGGAGAGAAGGATGGTTATGGAAAGCTAATTCATTGGATAAGAAGAGAGCAAATAACAGTACGTAAATGATACTGAATGCCATCTTGTTTCCTGTCATGATGCGATCGCCAGTCATGCCATTACCACACTGGCCCTTCTCCTCAGAACTGGAGGCATAGACTGCAGCACATGACATTAGAAGGAGGGAGATAAGAACAACAGAGATGTACCCTTCTCACTCTCAGTCAGCATACAAGAGAATGTCACCCCCGCCAACACCTTGACAGCTTTTTCCTGACCTTCCTCAATTCTAAAGAATGTTATGTGTTTGAAGAAGGGTAATCTCTGGACTCGGTGAGTGTCTGCACTGCAATTTGGGAAGAGTGACCCAGAAGAGCAAGGGCAAAAGGAATAGCAGGATTCACGAGCAAGGAAAGAACAAAAGTTGTCATCAGCACCACACATAGACCAGCCCAGCAAAATGTACCTGCCCAAACACGTTCGTGCCCACCATCATACACAACTATCACTAGCAACAAGCAGGGTATGGCTCCTCTGCAGGTGGCATGGACCCACTTGCCCTTGCCGCCCAGGTCCTTTACTGCTATCCTCAATGGTTCCTCCTTGCTCACAGAATCCACACCACCTCCCAGGCCCAGACACAGGCTCGCATTATGACTAAAGAACCATGACGATGAAGTGTACAGCTGAGCACAATGTGTGAAAGAAGATGACGTGAATCATCAAGAGCAAATGGAGTATGTGGGGTTCGAACAGGTTTTGGCCATTGTCCAGAGATCCGGGTCCTTTTCGTCTGAGCTTAGTGTGGTGCTGCTGCAGATGAGTACTGGTCATGGAAAAAGAAAAAGAGAAGAGAAGAGATTCACAAGTTTTTTCACCAAAAGCAAGAGAGAAATCATACCTCGGCCCATCCTGGTTTCATTTTGTTGCTGGTTTTGCTAGAACTTGCCTCAAATTTACTGTGAGGGTTGTTCAACTCCAGTGACGCTGTTGACTGAATTTTTCAATGACGTCGTTGAGTGATACTAGGATCACACATCAGCATATATGCATGTAAAAAAGCATACAAAGCTATCTTTCCTCACTACCCTCACTCACAGATTCGGAATGAGCCAAACAAAGCATAGCTTGATTTTGAGTAGTGCTAAAGTATTTTGGATGTCAGATCAGACAACGATGGTGGCACCAAGCATAAAAAATTGACTGACGGATATTAAAATGAAATAATGGGTCATCGTTGTCATAGTATAAGGCAATGGATCGATGATGGCTTAGACGGTGGTGGAAGAAGTCAAGATGTGACAGTGTGAAATGGCAGACCAGCTGGACCGAGTTGCTACCCTTCAGAAAAGAAAGACAATTCACAGGAAAATGATGAAGGTTGATGAAAAATTCCCATGAGCAGCCCAGAGAGAATCGGACAGCAAACACCATGTTGGACGATCAAAAAATCATTCCAGGTTGGTATAATAAACCGATACCTATATATACATAACGCCTGCAAGGCCCACATCAGGGGCAAAGCCTGCTACATTGACCCCCCTTGAAACCTCGTTTTTTATATAATTATGATAGTTTATAATAAACCAAGCTGACATATAATTGATTGATCCTGCGAGGTTTACTGGCTATAATTCCTGCAGGAGAGATTGAATCAAGGCCCAAGGGTTATTCAAATCTTGGCTTGTGGAAAAAAAACAAAGTCATAATCAATAATAGTTAGCATTCAAAAAATAGTAGTATGAATGAGAGAGTACTACCCCTTGAAATGATTCA